GAAGATGGTCTCTTTCCCAGTCTTCAGAGAGTAGCTGGAAGTGGAGAGGCAGGAAAAGGTCCTCCTTTCCTTCCACTCTGCAGTTTTAATCTGAAATCTTAGGTGCACTACTGTGCCCAGAGCTGAGAAACTGCTCATACTAATGAAATTCCCTGTCACAAAATGCACCTAGAACAATGGGAGTTTTGAACACTGGCTCTGAGGTTTAAGCTGTTTTCATAAATGATGCACCAGGTTTTTTGCCTCCCTTTCCTGCATCTGCAGTTCAGATGTAAAAAACTGGATAGGTGGATGGATATAAATATATTGGCTAAATGTCCATCTGAATTGAAAGTGTCTTTCATTCACTTTCTATCCATCAGGCTTTCTGTTCCAGTACACAGTACAGAAAGGAATCTGCATGGGCCATTTCTTTAAATAATGTTCCCCGTGCTGTTTATGATTTAAACTAATAGCAAAGGAAATTGTGCTAAGAAGAACTGCTCTTATATCTTGGCTTATTCTTTCAATCTAATTGGTGTAAATACTCAGTTCAAGTTTGTTTTCTACAGCTAATGAATAAGACAGGACAAATGTGATAATATGCAGCCCTGCCTTTAAGACCAGGGCATCTGGCTTTAAACAAGACTCAGATTCTGTTAAATCAATTAAGCTTTGACTCTCCTAGACTTTGGAGAAAGGGCACCTGCACAAATAGAGTACAAACAGCTCTTCATAATGGAAAAATACAAACACCAAAGAACACCAGGAAAGCAGAGCTTGGGGGAAGCAGCAGACAAGACGGCTTTGGGAGCAATAGGAGAATGTTGCTAGGGACGCCACTGTAGAGAACACTGCGCTGCAGGACTGAAATGAAGCCAAGATATTTTTCCATTACCTTGGCCCAAAGTCATGATTAACCCTATGACTTCCCTGTCTAAAACAATCTCTTTCAGTACAGTTGAGAGATTTTGATACTTCAGGATAGGCACTTTTGCATCCCAGCTAAACCACAAATGTGGAAAATTATACTCATAAGAAGGCATACTGTTTCATGTGTTTTTCAGCAACCACAATTTTCTGCAGAAAGGTTGTGGGGTTTTTTTGTACCAGAAGCACAACCTAGAGGGAATAAATCCACACTCTGCCCCCAATGTGTACACTAGAGTACACATTGGTGGGGGGATGGGACGACTGCCTGAACAAGTGATTGTCTGTACATGATACAAGGACAAAATGAATTAAGACAAGTCTGGCTGTTGAATCATCACATATCATAACGCCTAGCAACAAACAAACAGAAGGAGGGACTTTTCGTATCAGGTCTTCTACTGGAGGCTTATTGTATGCTTCTTACTGCAAATACTTTTCTGAAGAAGCTAAAACAACTCATGAATTCTGGAAGGAATGGTAAAATGTTCCATTCTGTTCCAGTCATAACACTTTCTGAAGTAATGTCAACTGCTGTCAAAATAATGTATATAAACAGTTTGAAACAAAAAAAGATGGAAAACAAGAACTATTCTAAAATAATATGTTTTGGAAGACTGCAAATAAACTGTCACATAACTTCCTTGCTTTCTTTCCACTGCCAGAGGGGAAAAGTTTTTATATTCCTTGGAGTTTGTCTTGCCTATTAAATAATAAATGTTGCTACTGCATGTTTTATTATTATTTACATCATTTCTATACAGTGGTACCCCTGGTCGCGAACGGGATCCATTCCAGAGGCCCGTTCACAACATGAGCAGAAGGCAACCTGCAGCAGCGCGTTTGCACACACGCGGGTTGCGATTCGCCGCTTCTGCGGATGCGTGCAACGTCATTTTGCGCGCCTGCACGAGCGGCGAAACCCGGAAGTAACCCTTTCTGGTACTTCCGGGTTGCCGTGGGATGCAACGTGAAAAAACGTATCATGAAGCAAATGTAACATGAGGTATGACTGTACTGCACAATGTATTACAAGTATCTAAGTGGTGTACAGAAAACTGAAGTGACAACTTAAACAAGTTGTGGTCAGTGTGGGAAAGCAAAATGTAGATGGACCTTTCATTCGATTGAGCAGGGTTCCTCCTTATGTTCTAAAATCTCTTTTGCTAAAGCAAATGGAAGGAAATCTGTGGTGATAACCTTTTACTAGGACAAATAGAAAGGCATCGGTTTTGATAACCTTGCTACAACTTTTGGAAGGTACAAATCTCAGCAAACAGGAAAAGAGGCTACTTTTGTTTTGCTTTTTTGCAATTTAGCCTTGAATGAATTTAATAGCAATTTAGCCTTGACTTCTTGCTCAGACAATCAGCATTTGTAGCTTTTTCTAATTTCCCCCAAGCACGCACAAGACGGATCAAATTTCCTACTAGGTTTAATTTAAAACTTGCCAGAACAGGTTTTATGACCCTAAGTACTGAACAAGCATTTTTTTTAAAAAGAAAGAAAAGGTGATCAGTGCAAGCCCCCATGGTGGGCCAACAACCAAGCATATATGCTTGCCCTTGTAGCTAAAGCACCTCTGTCACAGGTAAACAGCACCCAGACATTGCAGGTGTGTGTGTAGGGCTGTTGATGTGAGAAAGGAAGCATAATATGTGGTGAACAAAGAATAGCCTTCAAACTGAATTAGGTTATCAGGTCTCCTGAGGTTCAGAGTACAGAACTTGAGTCCTCAAGGGTAGTCCTTGTGGAAAATGGAGCACTGCTTGGGGAAGAAAGCTCATGCCATTCTTAATGTGGTATAGGCAATTGACAGGGATGCGGGTGGCGCTGTGGTCTAAACCACTGAGCCTCTTGGGCTTGCTGATTGGAAGGTCGGCGGTTTGAATCCCTGGGATGGGGTGAGCTCCTGTTGCTTGGTCCCTGCTCCTGCCAACCTAGCAGTTTGAAAGCATGCCAGTGCAAGTAGATAAATAGGTACCACTGCAGTGGGAAGGTAAATGGCGTTTCCGTGCACTGTGGCACTCGTCACGGTCTTCCATGCACCAGACGTGGTTTAGTCATGCTGGCCACATGACCCGGAAAACTGTCTGCGGGCAAACACCGGCTCCTTCGGCCTGAAAGCAAGATGAGCGCCGCAACCCCATAGTCGCCTTTGACTGGACTTAACCATCCAGGGGTCCTTTACCTTTACCTTTTACCTTATAGGCAATTGAGTTAGCACTATGAAGGCCTGGGTTCAAATGTCCACTCATCCAGGAAGCTCACTGGATGACCTTGGTCCATTCCCTCCCTCTTAGCTTAACCTCTTAGCCACAATCTGGTTGTGGGGATAAAATGCAGAGAGTAAGAGAGCAATGTAGCTCTTTGGAAGAACATGATATAACTAGATTAAATTTCATTTAAAAAGGTTGAAAAAAGCAGGATCACTACCTTCTTTCCTGCTTCCAAAGATCATTTGCTATGCTATGTGCATGTTCACCTCTCAGTCAGTCTATCCCACAATGAGAGGAATAGAGAACGCTAGGGCTGGAACAAACTGTGGAGATATAAAAAGATGGTTTATATTTGGCTATGTGGAATTTCCAGGCTCACAGGTAGTCTACCTCAGGAAACCAATTACTGGTAGGAGAGACTGGGGAGGTGGGAAGGGCAGGGAGACAGCTGTTGATTCCATGTCTTGCTTGGGGGCTGCTAAACTAGACGGGCCTTTGTGTTAACTTTAAAAGTGCATAAGACACAATACTGCAGGGTGGGGATGTCATAATATATGTTTCTGCTTCCTTAACCCAATATTTAACTCTCATCATCCAAAGTCTCTGAAGCAAGGACTTTTTAACAAAGCAAGCGTTTTAAGTCAATATCTTTCCCAGAGTTCCCTTCTGCATTGGAATTGTTTTGAATATATATTTTTATTACTTGTTTGCCACCCTGGGCTCCTTTGGAAGGGCAAGATATCAATGTAATAAATGCATCCTGTTTCTGCCTACTCAGAAGTAAACCCCAAGTTTAAAGGGACTTACTCCTACATAAGCATAGCCGAGGGAGGGGGAGGGAGGCAACTGCCCCCCAATCAGTAAATATCAATGGAAATAAATACAAATCTTAGGTTCTACCCCCCCCCAACAAAAGCCCCCAGGAAAATCCTAGCTATGCCCATGTACTCCCAAGGAAAATGTACAGCCTAAAACCCCAAAACTTTGGGTCAGACCTTGAGACCTCAGTAAGGACCTTCCCCCCTCCCAACTTTTAAACATCTGCTGAAGACTTTTCAATTCCATCAGGCTTATGCAGTTAGTTAAAAATACGTCCTTTCACAATAGTTAGCTGATTCTTAAACATTTCGTGTGGTTTTTAATTGTATGCTTTTGTGTATCACTGGTGTCTGATGTTTTACACGGGGCAAAGAAAGGCAAACTTTTACACATAGCAAAATTACTGGTTTCCTCTGGATTTTCCATCTATATAAAAGAAACATGTTTCTCTCACTCTATTTTGTTAATAACATTATCAAAATAGCACTTTCAATGAAATAGCAGACAGGATTCCTTCTTCACTTTTTTATATGCTACAAAAAACATTCCTGCCCCCCCCCCGAAAGTGGGGGGGCGGGGAAATGAGCTCCTTCCTTCGGTTTGCAAGCTGAGCTTCTTTCATAAAATCGTGAAATTTCACCTCAGATTTAACAAATAACAAGAGTCTTTTGTCTACACTTGCCCCCCCCCCCGCCTTTCAAACGAGGGGGAGAATCCCCTCAAGAAAAAAGGCGGGAAAATTATACTCCCCGTCACAATAATACACTCTCCTTTTAAACCTGGGACCCCGCCCACCACAGAATCACGTGACCTACTAACAGTCGGGCAGCGTCCGTCCTCCCTCCTACTATTATCCTCCCACTGTATTGGGGCGGGGCTTCCCCCTCTCAACGGCCTCGGCAAAGCCACGCCCCCTCGGCACTCTCCGTCAACCGCCCAGTGGCGTTTTTCAAAACTGCCCAATCGTGGCACGGAGGCGAAAAACAACAACGACGACGAGCAAATCACGCGCTGGACGGTTAAACGTCCGTCGGGTTCCCCTGGGTTGATTGGCTGCGGAGCGTTGGCCCCGCCTACCAAAATGGCGGCGCCCATCAGCGCGAAGGTAAGAGCTTCGGATGCAGCGGCGAGTGGGAGCGTTTGATAGACTTAACGGGAACGATCTCCCCACCTTCCTTATTCCGCTGCTTGCAAGTAAGAGAGGGTGACGCAAGAAGGTGGCAGCGGTTGTCAAGGCGAGAAGTGGGTGCTGTCCTCTCCCCTTGGGGAAGGGGGCTACGGAGGGAGACCCACCCGGTCTGGGCTCCAGTTCCCTAAGCTGACTTCGGAGACCACCTTCAAGGAGCCCCCTGAGGGGGAGGGGATTTCACTGGAGCCTTTCGTCCCCTCCCCCCTACCCTGCATGCGTCCCTAGTACACTGGCGGGCATGTCCTAACTTGCCTCCCCCGTCTACTGTACTGCTTTTTCGCCACAGCGGACTGATAAGAATCTCACCTTTCGTCTGATGGGGGTCTCCCGTATTTTCCCCACGCAAATAAAAACACACTCGCTTCTACCCCTTTTGCTGTCAGCATAGTCCTTAAATAAAAAGCTCAGGAGGAAGAAAGAAGCTCTCATTTGTAGCATATAGGGACATTTGCTTAGATCTCAATAACTCTCAGTGAAATGAGAGTATTTTTTTCTTGTCAAGTGACTGATTTAGGAGCCAGACGTGCTCCCTTCAGAAAATGGAACTGTTGCTACCTGGTCTGAAATAAATACTTTGTATATTCAAATTGGAGAGAGATGTAACTAAAAGCAACTCCTCTTCCAAACTGGCCATTCCTACAAATTTTAAAAGAAGGGATTAAGCCTCAAGGACAAGGGAGCATCGATGTTTGTCTTCAGTGCACTTTCCATCTTGATGCTGAAACAGTCCCTTATTTCATAAAACTCTGAAATAACGTAAAAATCCATTCCTAGCATACTGGGACCTCTCCTTTCAGTCTTTTGGGAAGTGGTGCAGCTCCCTTCAGTGGCAATCAAACTCTTGTCAGTCCAATTATTCCTATTCCCACATTCTCCATGTGGAGCTCCGCTATGGATCTAGTGTTTCTGGTTATCAATGGTGTGGGAATGATTTTGGACCTCTTGGTTCTCTTGCTGGATGTCAACTTCTTCCTCTTTTCCACACTAGTGTCCTTCCTCGTCTGGCTCATTGCATTTGTTTGTAGCCTGCCCAATACCTTGGTTGCTTGTGTGATCCACTGCTGGAATGGGATTACGTTATCCTCGCTATGCATAGCCGAGGCATTGTATTACTTGACTCTGGGCTCTGTGCACACCATCGTCAACATGCTGCGGGGCTTCTTCTCCAGCATGGAGAGCTTGAAAGTAGTGGGCCACCTGTTCACCCACCTGACGCTTAAAAGCAAAGAAATTATGCACCGTGGTTTCTGGAACCTGGTTGGCTCCGGCCAGTCACTTCTCAGGCAAGTGTGTGAAGTGTGTGCCATCGTCATGAGCCTTGTGGCTTACTTCGTCAACAGCATCATCAACATCTGCCTCATTGGAACCCAGAACCTTTTCTCTCTGGGACTGGCCCTGTGGGAAACTGTTGTTGGCCCCTTTCTAAGGGTCACCGATATTTTTGCAGCTTTTGTTGCACGGCTGTCCAGCAGTGCCATCGCTATGGCCATCCTCCTGTGGACTCCCTGCCAGTTGGCGTTTGATCTGCTGGCCTCTGTGAGCAAGCTGCTGCTTAATGTTTTCTTCCTCAACCTCTATGGTTTGATGTTGCTGTCTGTGATTCTTGCCACCAGCATCTTAATCCTCAACCCTCAGTTGACGTGGACACTGGCAAGCCAAATGTCTGGCTATTTGAACACCATGCCTTCTTACCAGCGCCTGCTCAGAGACATGCGCCGCCTGTATCAGATTGTACTCTTGTCATTGGAGATGGTCTTGAGCTCGCAAGCTTGGCGCAGGTTAGCTGACTGGAGCCTCCAGATGGCTAGCTGGAACAGAGGTGGCAGGGGAGGAAATCACCATGTGGAACAAGAGCAACAGCTTTTGATTGAGGGCAACCAAGAAAGGCCAGGAGGACCTGCTGTAGTTCAGGGACCAGCTCCTCCTGGAGCAACTCATCCAAGAAGACAAGGACCACCTGTGACCAATCAGCAGGCTGTACCCCGTGCCCGCCAAACATGGCAGGCAGCAGCTCGAGGCAGCAGGAACCAGCACAGAACAGAAGATGATCTGGAATCAACTACACAACGGAGTCTGCAGTCAGGGCAGCACTTGCAGCCTCCTGGTGAAGGACCAAGCACATCACATGCCAAACCTGCAACAAAAGAGCAGCTTAATGCTCTGGAGGATGACGATGACCCATGGCTTCTTCTCAAAGAACAAGAAGAGCGGAAGAAATGTGTCATCTGCCAGGACCAAACAAAGACAGTTTTGCTACTTCCCTGCCGGCATCTTTGCCTCTGCCAGCAGTGCACTGAAATCCTGCTGCAGCAGGCCATATACCAGCGCAACTGCCCACTCTGCAGGCAGATGATCCTGCAGACTCTCAACGTCTACCTGTGACCTATGTGGAGGGGATAGCTTTTTCCACATTCCTTCAAGCTTTCCATGTGCATTGGCCAAAGCATGTGGGGCTGCTGGCATTTTGTGCCTGCTGCTTTCTATGGCAGCTGGTTGACAGCAGCTTTATGCTGATCGTTGATATTGGCAATGGCTACCCTTTTTATTTCCAAAGAACTATTGCAGTCAGTGCAACTTGGAAAATACTGTGGATGGTTTCTATGCACCTCTGTTTTCATTTTCTTGTTGCTGCCACTAGCCAATCACAGTAATCATCTAGAACTTTGCTGTTGCTAAAGATGTTGAGCCATCATGTTGAGTATACAAAAGTGTCGCTTAGAAAAAACAACTGGTAAAATGTCAGCCAGAAGCTGGCGAGTAATTAAGGTAGATTTCTGGTAAGGAGCTACCTGTTGCAAAGAGAGCAGGTGCTGAAATTGTAGATTTTTTGGCTTTCCTATAACTTAGCTTGTAAACAACTACAACAACCCTTAGCAGGCTTGTTTGGTAAACACTTGGGAAAAATATGTTAATCCTTCCTCCATTCTTTTACTGGGGGTATGAAACAATATTCTCACCCCGGCATTTCTTTCTAGAGCAGGGGAATGTTCCTGGACTACAGCTCCTGTAATCCCTGACCATCAGCCATGCTGACTAGGCTGATGGGAGTTGGAGTCCAATAATGTCTGGAGAGCCATAAGTTTCCCATGTATGAAGTGAGACTTCAGCAACCTGAAACTGACCAAAAGGCCAGTTTCATGGTTCTCTTCAGAATATTGTCTAGTTACCTTAACATGTATTTGTGCATTCTGTAGTAGGAAAGTTCATACTTCCAAGCATTGGTGTGTAGATTTCTGACAGGTGCTATACATAGAAAGCCTCACTAATTTAGCTTGCACTTTTAAAAACCATGCACCACAGAATTCCTACTTTCAAGAAGTACTTCCCAATACCCAGTGAACATCTTTTTGATGTGTAATTTTGAAAGAGCTGTGGCAGCACTGTCATTTCCCACCCCCCTCCAGGTTTTCTGTGCTCATTTGTTTCAAGACTTCATATAAAAAGCAAGTTGGACACCAAATGTGCAGCTGTGGAGCACAGAGACACCACACACAGTAGTTCACTAGCAAGCTGAAGTCAGGATCCTCTTGTCTCTGCTGGCATGTAACTTCCACAGGCCACCTATGCAAAACTATTACATTCCAGCTTTATTGCACAACTGTTTGATTGATATATATTTTCCCTCTTTGGGGTCCAGCTGGGGAAAGCTGATGTAACCAAATATAGTCGTAACAAGTGGCAAGCCTCTTATCAACAGTGCTGGAGACTGCATGGTTTGACTCCAGGCCCTGTTAAGTCTCTGGTGTGGACTGATAATAAGTTTTTTATGACTACTTGTCTGGGTAAGATTTGAACAGGGTGGTGACCTCAGGAAGAAAGTCTGGCTCTGGATCTGATCGCTTAAGTCCAGAAGACGAAACCAGTCTCCCAGGTGCAAGTAACATTCGTTCTAGAAGGAAAATTACGAAAGTAGGAAGGGACATAGGCTAGAGTGGTTTGTTTTGACTGTTGCACTTGGCATAAGAATAACCTCTGGGCTCCCTTTCCTCCCAGACCTAGTCAGAAAGCATCCATAGCTCTGCTTCTTGGAAACTGGGCAGAGAAGCAAATCCAAAAGCATAGAAAACTCAGTGAATAGCTGCTGCTAATCTTCATCTCTCCTGTGTCTAAAATGTGGAGATGAGAAAGACAGATAGTGGTTTACCCACCTCACCTGCCACCCTGACCAGAGCCACCTGGTTTCTTGAATGTTTAAACTGGGGAAAAGAAAGCTGAGAAGTAGAGGTATGAAACCCTGGCAAGTTTTATATTCGTGGTGTTCTTTTGAGCTTTCTAAATTATTGAAAGCTGTTCCTAGTCATAAATGGAGTGCTGCACCTGGGCCGGAGAGGTTTTTGCAGCCTTGTTGAAGCTGTGGCATAACATGGCTTGATCCTGACTGTATAAAAGCACCGGATATCAGCGTCCTTCACAGAATCGTTTTAATAGCATTAGAATGTGGCTGGCACCCTGGTCCTAAGTGTTTGCTTTGAAGTATGCCCTGTTGATTTTAATAGCGCTTACTTCCCGGTGAATATCTCTTTGTAACAGATGAGGTCCACAGCTGAAAGGTCAGGGTGTCATGAATTCCACCATCGTGACCTTACGCAGCACCCTTTGCAGCAGACTTGAGCAACGCATCCAGGAGACCTTGCCTTTTGTAACACTGCTCAATGCCCTCTGGGAAGGTTGTTCAACCCTCACCCGCAAATGCTTCAGGGGCTAAACTTCACTTTGCAAAATGAGAATGAAGACTGGAATCTCAAAGCAGATTTTCCCGTCCTGAAAACTAGAGTGTCTACCTTGTTGGAACACATTGTCTGCTAAGTCAGATGCTAAGATTTGATGACACTTGGTTTGAATGTTGCGGCGGTACGCAGTGTGGGGGTTGCAAAATCAGAATTTTTCAGTTGCATTTTAAAAACGGGACTGTTTAAAACCCTCCCAAAGTGTGGAGTTTTGTTTTTTTAAAAATTGGAAAGTCTTCTGCATTATGTTTTTAATTTTCTTTTAATTCGAACCTTGCAGTTAAATCTGCACAGTGCAGCTGAATCCTAACAGAGTATTTGCCAAGTCCCTTGGTTTTGAGGGAGAGCTGCGGCACCCCTCTGAATGATATGATGTACTATTGTGTGGAGCCAAAGGTTTGGTAAGCTGAAAAATGGATTTGAGCAAATGCTAAACTGAGTGCCTTAATGATGGCAGGTCAGAAAGGAAGACAGTGCTGAAGGCAAGCTAGCTATAAAGCTAACAAACTCAAGTGAGCTTGTGATTGTGTGTGTGTGTGTGTATGGGATCAAAGAGAGTTTATATAATCAGTTGGATCTAGACAGTCAACATGTGTTACAAGGTAGTAGGGCAGACTGCAACTTCTGGCTGCAGATGGGTGATTCTATTTTTGTAATCCTTCTCTACATAACAAAACTTTCTACAAGTTAAAAACAAAGTAGCACATCAGAGAGGGGTTCTTGGTCATCCTGCTCCTTATTATTTACAAGTAGAAAGCTAACAAATTATTATTATTATTATTTATTTATTTGGAGGGGAGCATCCAGTAATGTGAACCTGCTCACCTGCAGTCTGAATCAGTACAGGCTCCTCTGCTCTATAGTTCTGCTAGCATAGACCAGAGTTTACATGCACTGATTTGTACTGAGCAACTAAAGAAATGTGCATGTTGGAGAGCAACCTAATTTAGAATAATATGTGATTCTCTCTAACCATCCCACCCCACCCCCCAAAAATCTGTATCTGAGGAGTTTTATTCCAGTCTTTCTAAGCAGTTAGATGTGTAGAACTGCACATTTTGCAATTTTTTTTTTGGGGGGGTGGATGGATGGAGAATCGAACAGGAGCAGAAAAGAGTGGTGTTACAGTAAAGGCCTGCCTACTGTCCCGTGGAGCTAGCTGCTCACTCCTGATCTGTGCCTTGTTCAAACTGCTGCCCACTCTCACAAACCTTCTGAGTGTTATTTTATAAGAAGATGAAGATGACGTGCAATTGCCTTTTATCCAGTACCTGCTCCGTTGTCTCCTCTTGCAGTTGCTCTTCTTGCTGCCTCTGGAGGGGCCATTTGGTTTGCTTATGTGGTAATGGCAAAGTCTATTCTTTGCACTATGTAAAATGATTGTTTGCAAATTAAAAGGAACCCTTTTCACAAAATTAGCTCTTCCCACTGTTCTTTATAAACGATTTTATTAAAAAAAGGAAGGCACTCAAGGCCTTTCCTTTTTGTTTATTCCATTTACATTTTCTGGGCTGACGTGTCACCGAAAGAACCTAGTGGCTCTGGTGGAACTGAAGAAACTGGATACAAATCCCACACAGAGCCACTGAGTGGTCTTAGGTAAGTTATTATCTCAGCTTCAGTTCCCCAGCTACATGATACAGCTGAAATGAAACCTTCGTTGCCTTCCACAGGCAATGCAACCACACTTTTATCTCCCCCAACTTTGAGGACGAGTAATTTAAAACATATCACTTGGGTAGCATTTTCTACATAATATACCAGCTTGTGTGTGAAAGTCTAAATGAATGAGGTCTCCCGAAGATGTCCAGAACTCATTGAGGGCAAGTCTTATCTTGGATAACGTTCTGCAGTTGGTATTTTCCACCTCTAGATTTAATCCTTCAGTCCAATGAGGTTGGCTCCTTATCTGCATTCTGACTTGGGGCTGCTGTGAGTTAAATTCTAGCAACCACTTCTGCAAAGGAAAGTCCCTTTTGAGGCACAGCTGGAATCTTGCCAGGCCAGATCGTTGTGGTCTCCCTGGCAGCCACTATGATTCCCTTCACGAAGTTCAGCCAAGAAAGCGAAACCTAAATCGAGTGACTCTCTCACCCTGGAATCCTCCACTGTAGGATGAGAGAGCTATCTGGATGGGTTTCCAGAGTAAGCTGGGAAAATGCTGATTAAGAATTTAAAGAATGCACCTGGGGCGATGATAGTGGTGTTAACATATATTATGAATGAGCTGTTTTTCTGTTAATAACAGTAAAAGCAATTTGCAATCGATAATAACAATGAATACTTAAAAGAGTGTACAAAGTGCTTTGCAGATGTGGTGGGATGATGCAACAACCCTGTAAATCAGGTTGGTATCATTGTTCCAAAATTTCAGAGGATGGGGTGAGGGAATGGGCTGAGGCTGAAAGACAAGTGGCATACTTTTATAGCTCAGGGGCAAGTTAACTCATTTTTATTTACCGTATTTTTCGCTGTATAGGACGCACCCGACCATAGGATGCATCTTGTTTTAGAGGGGGAGAACAGGGAAAAAAATTCCCCTCTGCTCAGCGCCCCTTCAGCAAAGCGGCAGGAGAAACAGAGCCCCTTCCATTTCTCCTCCCGCTTCGCTGAAGGGGCGCTGTGCAGAGAGGGAAAACTGTGCAGTGCCTCTCCAGCGAAGCGAAGCCTGGAGAGCAAGAGGGATTGGTGTGCACCGACCCCTCTCACTCTCCAGGCTTCAGTGAAGACAACCCGAAGCCTCCGGAGCGCAGCGGGAACTCCTGCTGCGCTCCGAAGGCTTGGGGATAGCTCTGGAGGCTTCAGCGAAAGCAATGCGAAGCCTCCGGAGCGCGGCGGGAGCGCTCCCTCTGCGCTTCGGAGGCTTTGCGTTGCTATCGCTGAAGCCAAGGAGCCTGCATTGGCTCCATAAGACGCACACACATTTCCCCTTAATTTTTGAAGGGGAAAAAGTGTCCTATAGAGCGAAAAATACGTTATTCTGTTTACTGAATTTCTACCCACTTTTCCTCTCAAAGAGCCTGGGGTGGTGGACATTACACACAGAGACATGTAAGGAGGCCTCAGCTTTTCATAACTGAAAAGGCGCCACAGCTGGCTGTGATTTTGTCTTTTCATGCAGAGGATGTAAATAATGCTTTTCCTGCTGGCTATTTTTCTCCCGTGTTACATGATTCCAGGTGAGTATTTACAAGAGAAAACGTTCACCTAGATCAGATCTAAGGGTTTAGCAGCTTGGGAGGGAAGAAATGGCTGTCGGGGAGACAAGCAAGTGGAATGGATGTACTTCAGTGTCAAGAGTATCAGCTTCAGGTTCAATCTCTGGCATCTGGTGTGGCTGGGAAAGACTCCTGACCCTGGAGAGCTGCTGCCGGTCAGTGTAGACAATACTGAGCCAGGGGGAACCAATGCTTAACTCTGTATATGACGCCTTCCTATGTTCCTATGAAGGGACGCGGGTGGCGCTGTGGGTCAAACCACAGAGCCTAGGATTTGCTGATTAGAAGGTCGGCGGTTTGAATCCCTGCCACGGAGTGAGCTCCCGTTCCTCGGTCCCTGCTCCTGCCAACCCAGCAGTTCGAAAGCACTTCAAAGTGCAAGTAGATAAATAGGTACCGCTCTGACAGGAAACTAAATGACGTTTCCATGTGCTGCTCTGGTTCACCAGAAGCGGCTTAGTCATGCTGGCCACATGACCTGGAAAAACTGCGGACAAATATCGGCTCCCTCGACCAGTAAAGCGAGATGAGCGCCGCAACCCCAGAGTCGGTCACGACTGGACCTAATGGTCAGGGGTCCCTTTACCTTTATGTTCCTATGATAACGTACTCCCTTCTCAGCCTTACCCAACGCGGTGCCCTCCAGATGTTGTTGGACTCAAACTCCCATCAGCCCTAGTCAGTGACCAGGGAAGATGGTAATTGTAGTCCAAAACATCTAGAAGGCTTGAGGGAAGACTGGCTTAAACCAATATAAAAGCGACAATAAAAACAATATACCCATCAGCAGGGCAAAAAAATAGGACTAACTGCCTCTTGGGAAATGGTTTCTGAAATAGAGTGAAAACAGCCACCACCTGCTTTTGGATCTCCAGTAATGAAGGATCTAGATGGGCATCTGTGAATGAATAATTCCAAGGGGTGAATGGCACTGTGGCGAAAGCACAAAAGACTGGATTGTTTAAGGAGATTTATATTGCAACTGGTGCATAATTAGGCTTTCTTAGAACACCACCTTTAATAAAAAATATTCAAAGTCGCTATGTCTCATGCTTTCAGATATATATTTTTTTAACGTGCAAGCTGTGGAGGTGGTATTTTCCCTTATTCTGGTGTGATGTGAAGAATAAATTGCAATGGCAATGCAGAGTACAGAAACCTGATGCAGACGGGCTTTGTGGTTTTACAAAAGGAATGGAAACATTTTTACCAGTTGAAAAGTTTTTTACATAAAGATCAGTAACAGGCAAGACAGTCCCTGACCTCAGGCTCGCTTGCTATCTGAAAGACAGAACCCAAAAGGAAAAAGGGATAAGGAGGGAAGAAGGAAGGAAGGAAGGAAGGAAGGAAGGAAGGAAGGAAGGAAGGAAGGAAGGAAGGAAGGAAGGAAGGAAGAAAGAAGGAAGAAAGAAAGAAGAAAGAAAGACCAGGCATAGGCAAACTCGGCCATCCAGATGTTTTGGGACTACAATTCCCATCATCCCTAGTTAACAGGACCAGTGTTCAGGGATGATGGGAATTGTAGTCTCAAAACATCTGGAGGGCCAAGTTTGCCTATGCCTGGCCCAGACCTTAAAAATCTCAAAAGTTCTCAGAATAACTAGCTTGACTGGAAAGAGCTCAGGGAGAGGAGGAACTGATGGAGTGGGGTTTGCTGCCTTGTCTCATCAGTTCCTCTCTTGCTGTCAGGTGATGGCTGAGGGGGTCTCTTCCCTCCTTCCTTTCCAGTTTTACCCTTCTCTCCATAGCTACTTTGTTTTCTGTTACTCCAGCCCTTGCTGAAATAAAGACCAAGCTATATGAAAACCCAAATATTGCAGCCACAGGATTTTTTTTTTAAAAAAAAACACAACTTCAGATATGTGCAGAATATTTTTTAAAAAATACTGGGGTCAAAGTTGTTGCTTTAAAAAAATAGAACTGAGCACTATTAAAAAAAACACCTTGATATATCTTGTTCACACATCAGAGATAATTCATTAGCTGTTTGTGATGGGACAAAGGTTTGCCCTTTCAAAACAATTACGCTACACATGCATATTCCTTACACAGCCATGTGTATGTGGTGATCTGGTGCTGAGATAGCAGCTATGTGGAAATTTCCTAAGGAAAGACAAGAAGGGCTGAGAGAGACAGCAGGTCTTGTTTATCCACACAGAATCATTAGCCCTGCTCCGTGAGAGGGAACACGATAAGCTAAGAAACCCTTGAGGGGGAAAAAACCCCAAGAAAATCTCGGGACACATCACAGCAGGCTACACCGACCTTGCAATCACCATATGTTGTTAGACTCCAGCTCCCATCACCTGCAGCTAGCATAGCCCATGGTCAGGGATGATGGGAGTTGGAGTCCTAACAGTAGGTGGAATTGTGCACCCCTGTTCCAAAGTGCTATGAAAGAGCATCATCGCTGATGCCAGCAGGAAAGTGAAGCACAGACTGACATAATTCCCTATTAGACGGTAGTAAGAATGGTATATCCAATCTGGTCCTTGAGCCAGTGGCTTAGCCCAGCTTCTGCTCGTGTACACAGAAATCTGTCTCTGTGATAGAAGAATCAGATAAAGCCAGTCTGGTTGGAGAGCAGCTGCTCCCTTGAAAGCTCCAAAGGAGAAAAAAAAAAAAAGAAAACCAGCAAGGAGTTTATCTGTAGATCAGAGCACATTTGTATCTTGTAATGTACATGATCAATGTTGCTCTTCCACCCTGGTATTTTCTCCCTACCCATACAGTTTGCACACGGCAGGGCTGTTGGGAGTGATTTTGTCCTGGAAGTTTCTTCTCTCCCTGCTTCTCCCCCTACCTGAGCTGAACGTGAGGAAACTGCCCCCTGGAAAAGCAAGAGACAGCCCCTGGACACTGGCATCTCTGAAAGAATCAAGCAAGCAGGTGATGGGAAGGAGCTCTGGCTAAAATCTTGGACAGCCACTGCCACTGCCAGTTATAGTGGGCCATACTGGGCTACATTTATAAATTGTCTAACCCGTTCGAAAGTATCTTCCTGTGATGTCCCAGAGGCAAAAGGAACAGGGCAACTGAAGGTCTGCTCTGATGGATTGAGTGGAGTGGCCTTTCTATTGATATTCCACATGCGACATCACGATGCAGAAGCATTTCTGGTGGGATGTGTGCATGCCTGTGCATGCACGTGCATAGAGACGTCTGGGCAAGAGATGAGTGGGTTTTACAAGGGAGAGTAT